AGAGAGAGAGAGAGAGAGAGAGAGAGAGAGACTGAGTCAGAGGCCGTCAGGCTTGATGTTGCGTCTATTTCACTCAAACAATCAATAGAAATAAAATAACAAACATACCTGCAACATGAGAATGTGCTCTTCCATTTTCAGTGGCTCTTTGGGCCTGATGATGAGAGCCCCGATGAGACCCATAGACAGTTGCGCCCCGATGTGTGAGTGGTACCAGAATGTTCCCCTTGGGGATGCCTTGAACTTATACGTGAATTTTTGTTGGGGCGAAATGGGGCACTGAAAAAATAGAAAAATGTTGTCAAATACAGTGCTTATTTTTGAAAAAAGAAAACATATATAACATAATGTTTTACTATGCAAATAAGCACGAAATTATTACGTATTATATGTGTGAGTGGCACCAGAACGTTCCCCTCTACTCGGCAAGGCTTTTAACCTGTAATAGTACTTGAATTTTTGTTGGTGCGAGATGGGACACTGGGAAAAGAGAAGACCGAAACAATTCGTTTAAAGGTTAAAAAATGTTATTCACGTCTTAGTGTGTTCAATAGGTGGGCCGGAGATTTTATAGTGGTATGGTTTCCTGTTAAAGTACGTCTTAAATTATGATTCTGAGGTCTTTTTTTTCGGTTACGGTAACACCGTTTTAGAAACAATTTATTCTCGTCAAATTTTGGGCACAGTGAACTATTGATATCATCATCTTAAAGCTTGTTCATAATTTGTCTTTCTTTTGACGAAAATATATCCATCCATCTAGAATAGAAGTCGAGGTTGAAGGAGTTGGGGGTCGCCTTGTGTTAGAAGAAGGAAAATTAATGAGACAATGGCAGCAAAACTTTGATGACTTCCAAAGCTTGACAGTGCTTGGAAGTGGCAAATTTACATTTTTTAATGTAAAGTCAACATAGAAATGTGATTTTAATTGGACATAAAAGGTGTTGAGCTACCCCCTCCCCCCCCCCGCCAAAAAAAAAATCCCCTAAAAAAAGAAGAAAAATCGATACAAATTGTCCAGCGGGCGGGAAAAATGCCGTTTTCTTCGATTTCATTATTTCGATGAGGGCCTGATTTCACCACGATGCCTCACAAACAGTTTATCTGGTAGGGGAGCACACTATAATTCTCCCCTCCTCTCCCCTCCTTTCCTCTCCTCTCTACCCTCTCCCCCTCCCTCCCTCCTTCCTCTGATCCACTCTCGATGGAATACATTTTATTTGGGTTTGATCAAAACAAAACAAAAAGTACACTCTGATTTGATATTCGAGTGTTGGCCGAATTCATAGCGAATTGCATCACAGAGGACAATGAACTGCTGCTATCATTCTACATAAATCTGAACATGAGTTAAATGTTATCTGATTCTCCAAGTGTTTCATCTGACAGCAAAAGACAGGCGGATCAGAGAGAGAGAGAGAGAGAGAGAGAGAGAGAGAGAGAGAGAGAGAGAGAGAGAGAGAGAGAGAGAGAGAGAGAGAGGGGGGGGGAGATAGAGAGGGAGGGGGAGGGGGAGAGAGAGAACGGTAGGTAAGGGAAGAGAAAGAGACATCGAGCTAAGGTGAAAGAGAGAGAGGGGGGAGGGACGGGAGAAAACGGTAGGGAGGGGGAGAAAAAGAGAGAGTGAGGGATGGTAAGAGAGAGAGAGTGAGTGAGTGAGAGATAGATAGAGAGAGAGAGACAGAGAGAGAGAGAGAGAGAGAAAGAGAGAGAGAGAGAGAGAGAGAGAGAGAGAGAGAGAGAGAGAGAGAAGCAGGTGTGTCCATAACAAGGATAAGCCACATAAATAGCTACTCTTGAAATAGACAAAATTGTTTACTATCGCAGTTCGTTGACATTCTAGCTGTGCCAATCCCTGATTTCCTCGAATAACCAGACAAAAATGGCATCAATTTCTGTATTAACAGCTTGGGAGTCATTACGACTACATAGATGTTTTTCTCAATACTTAATGTAGCCCATGACTCACGAAATAGCATTACCAGTGTGCACCTGCCTGTTTGTTTCGGGGGGAATCTGTTTGGTATCTTTCAACCCCGAAGAAAGCTTTGCTGTAAGGATAAACTTCATTCTCTACCCCCCCCCCTCCCCCGTCTCTCTCCCTCTCTTTCTCACTCTTTATATCTCTATCTCTCTCTCTCTCTGTCGCTCTCTTTATCTATTTCCCTCTTTCTTTTTTTCTTTCTTTCTTTCTTTCTCTCTTTCTTTCTCTCTCTCTCTCTCTCTCTCTCTCTCTCTCTCTCTCTCTCTCTCTCTCACCCTAATTATTTTCCTCTAACCACGCTAGCCTTCTCTCTCCCTCACTTTATCTCTCTCTTTCTCTCTCTCTCACTCAAACACACACACTTTCTCTCTCTCTCTCTCTCTCTCTCTCTCTCTCTTTCTTTCTCTCTCTCTTTCTCTTTCTTTCTCTCTTCTTTTCTCTCTCTCTCTCTTCCCTTTCTTTCTCTCTCTCTCTCTCTCTCTCTCTCTCTCTCTCTCTCTCTCTCTCTCCCTCTCTCTCTCCCTCTCTCTCTCCCTCTCTCTCTCCCTCTCTCTCCCCTCTCTGTCTCTCTGTCCCTCAAGATTACCCCCATTTTTTAAAGGGAAAACCTCTATCATTTTTTTTAAAACATCTCGCGCAAAAAACTAATTTGTAAGCTATTGCATATGATTTTGCACCTGTTTGAACACAAGTTTGCCTGGTATACAGGTACCCTACCCTCAGCGTGTGCTTCAACCATCTTTAAAAAAAAAATCAACCCTTTTTTTCGCATTAGCTGACATGAGACTGGTGCTCTGATGGTACCCCTACGGTTGATTGACATTTGCGAACTCAAGTTTCGTTTCGTTAACACTTGAGAACCCTTTTTTCTTCAAAGGACGCCGCTTATTGACACTTTCGAACCCAGAGAAATGAAACACTTTAGTAGTGAGATGGGTAAGTTTATCGAGTAAGTCAGTAAGGTAATCGAGAAAGTTAACATAGCGCATTCTTTGAAGTGATGAAGGTTTGCAAAAATTCATACAATCCATAAGTTGACTAGACATTTAACTGGCTTTGTTTGAAAGTGAGGTGGGTCTCAAATACAAACTGTTCACTTTTAGAAAACGACAAAGGTAAACGTAAATATCGACACGCCCTCCTCCTTTTTTAACTCAATGTATAGGGCATGCCATTTCAGCTGACACAAGGCATAGCTCAGTTGTTTACACCCATAACAAAAGTCTATAAAACCCCAGAAAATCCATCTTATTCGTAATAAAAAAGTATGGTGAAAGTTAATTGTATGGATCATATATCTCTACCGGATAGTCTTTAATTTATGCAAATATATTCAAACGAGCAGAGTTATAGGGAAGAGTGGGATACTGCAAAATTCGACGACAAAATAACTGGTCGCATACAAAGGTAGAATAGAAATCCGTATACAAGAGGGTAATGTAGCTTTTTTTTTCAGAGCCTCCGAACAAAGAAATGAATGGAGAACCAGGATCGCCGATGTCTTTTGCAGCTCAGGCACTTGATATCGCTATGAAAAGTTTTTTAAAAAATCATAGTTTATTTTTTTATGACAAAAATAAAACCCTCGCACTTTATTTTTTAGTTTCTTTTCAATGTACTCGGCATGGGAGAGCCTAGCTCCTGACAAACCCAGTAGGAAAACAGAAGTCACAATGGGCAGCAAGTCAGACGAGGCTTCATGAATGCGGCCACCCACACAGTAGGAAGTGGAGTTTTTGAATGCTCAAAATGTGGAAAACTTTTATCTGCCAGAATTGGTCTCAATGGCGATAGCAGAAGCCTCAAGTCATTTTGACCTTTAATTCTTTTGATTCTTCTATTTTGCTCAAGAAATATTCTCCTCGTCCCACATTGATGGATGGCCTAGTGGTTAGGCTACCGGAGTCGTAATCGTGAGATTGCGAGTTCGGGAATTCGAACCTAAGCTCTGCCCGACGTTGTATCCTTGGGAAAGGCACGTAACATGAACTTCCCATTTGGTTCGGTCCTCTCGGAGATGGATGTTACACTCGGAGGTCCCGCCTCTTAAATAGCCTCATCGTGTTGATAGTGACATTAAACCTATACCATTTCCCCATTTTCTTCACCAGACATTAACGGGCGTACTATTATTATCATAACGTACTCATCGTCATCATCCTTGTCTTTCTCACCCTGCACCAGGGTATAGGCCACGAACAAAGACTGTCCTCCTTTCCCTATACTGGGATAGCCTCTTGATCTTATTCCCTGCCTTCCCACTTTTCTGTACATCAGTTTCTGTGACTCTTCTTCAGGTTCACGCAGTCTTCCCCTTGATCTTTTACCCATATCGCACTCACCTGTGTGATAAAAGCAACGCCGTCCATCCATGGTGTTCCATGCTGGTGCAGACCGTGCCAGTGGACAGTGACGGAGGAGCTGGTCATCCGGTTATGTACGTGGACGATCACTGTCTGGTTCTCCCATACCTGAATACAGGACAGAGTTTGTTTGCTTTATTTGTTTTGGAAAGCGTTTTACGACACTTGCAACATAATAAGAGTATATTATAAAGAGAATAATGAACATTAAAAAGGAGAAGAGATAATTAAGACGATAGAATGCAAGACACGGTTGAGGAGAAGTTTGTTGTGGGGTTGGATATGAGTGTGCAAAAGGGTGATACATTAATTAATAAGTAATCATCCCAGCCCACCCACCCCCATCCTACCACAAGTTTGTTACCTCGATGGGCGGGCCAGGCATGGAGCCGTTGGCCACCACCACCAGCCTCTGTGTCTCCCAGCCGTCCGCGATGACCACCCCGTCCTCGCTCATCGGCGTCGCTTCACTGGTGTTTCTGACGTCATAACTGTACAGCTGACCGTTTTCCGGGAAAACAGCCACCTTATTGCTCATCATGGTCATTTTGTGTTCAATTTCCAGCCAGAACTCGCATACGTCGTCTGTCATCTGGCATGCTGACGTCACCGGACGTGCTGTCATGGCAACCGTCCAGCAAAAGAGTAAGACGAAGGAAGTCCTGAAGAGGTCACGTGGACAGGTTATGAGGTTGACATAAGGCTCAGTCCTAGCGGTCATGAATGTTCTTTTGGGGTGATTAAGGGAAAAAGGTTTGTCTTTTTATAATGTAAAGCAACGCTTGTGCATTCACTCGGTTGTCAATCTAGAAGTAGAAGAAAAGGAGGAGGAGGAGGAGGAGGAGGAGGAGGAGGAGGAGGAGGAGGAGGAGAAGAAGAAGAAGAAGAAGAAGAAGAAGAAGAAGAAGAAGAAGAAGAAGAAGAAGAAGAAGAAGAAGAAGAAAGCGGGGGAGAAAGAGAGAGAGAGGGAAAGAGGCATACAGGGAGAAAGAGAGAGAGAGAGAGAGAGAGAGAGAGAGGGGGGGAGAGGGGGATGGGGTAAAAAGAAGGAAGAGGAGAGTGAGTATAGCGGAAAGTGATAAATGAAGAATGAGAGTCATGTGAACAGACAGACAGACAGACACACAGACAGACAGACAAACAGACAGATAGATAGATAGATAGATAGATAGATAGATAGATAGATAGATAGATAGATAGATAAATAGATAGATAGATAGATAGATAGATAGATATATAGATAGATAGATATCTATAGTAAAGAAAAACGTATGTCTGTACCAGATATTACGTCGAACTGACTCGTTTGTATGCAAAACTCGCAACATAACGTAAAACAGATTGCCCTTAATACACCACGGTTTTTGGGAACGGGTCTCTTAATGCTCAAGACGACGAAAATTAGCCAGATGGAGTAAATAAATTAGGGATGGACGTGTTGATTTGACACAGCTAATTAAAACGACGTCGCTCTGTTCGTGTGTATGGTGAGGGGCAGGGGAAAGGGGGGGGGGGGCTGTCTCATTATGCTCTATGTTAATCTTGAGTACATTCGAATCTTTGTAGTCTCACCAATACGGATAAAGAATAAAATTCGAGAAAATTTTTTTTTTTTATGAAGTAACCTGAGGACCACGAAGATTTTGCTTGCTTGGAGTTTCAAGCTCATTAACGAATAATTACCCTCCTTTCTGAAATAAAAGTCAGTTTATGATGTTTCCTAACGAATGAATGTGCCGACCGGCTGTGGGACAGCTGAGTGACGAGCAGACAACTTCGGAAGCTCGAAGTGCGTTTCTGAATGGGATTCCAACTTTTTATTCCTCATTCTTGTGTACTGATAATGTCATCATTCCTCAAAGTCAGATGTCTTGGCGTGTAACCAAGGGTTTCGCCTAGAGCTCTACCTGCAGCGTGTAAAAGGGGTCGGGGCGAGGTGAGGGGTGGGGAGGGGCTCTTGAGTTCAGAATTAAAAGTTAGATTAGATAAGATTCAGCTGCACTTTGTTTTGCATGAGTTGAACAGGGTGCTCTTGAGTTCAGAATTTTAAAAGTTAGAATATTATCTATCATGAGATTCTGTAGTTTATTTTGTTTATCTGAGTGTTACGCATGGAGGTGGAATTTTGAATTATTATCCGTTTCTGATTTCGACAACCTTGAAATTGCTCCTCACACTGTTGAAATTCAATAATTGAAGATTTGAATCAGAATATCCTCCCCAGTCCCCCCCCCCCCCCCCCCCCCCACACACACACTCCTTCTCCCCTCCTGGTTACTGACCCTACCATACGAGTAAGCGTAGAACGCTCTCTCGAAAACAATCAGGAGAACATGCCCTGCTTTTAAATAAAATAAATTTAAATAGTAAACTTCCCTAGTAAAAAAGGTCAACCAGGTAAGCTTGCTTTCGTCTTTGTTATTTCCTCAAATACATCATGACCTATTTTTTTAGAAGAAAAAAATAATCCCCATTTATGTATAAATTATGTTAAACAGAGAAATGTTTTATATAAATCTCCTATCTTCTTCCCTCAAGACCATGATGACATGAAGCTAACTGTTTGTTGACTTTATATCTGCAGAGCCTGTTACATTTTTTCATACGTGTTTACTAAAAAAAAAGTTTTTAAAAGTGTGGCGCATTTCCTTGAAAAACATCCTCCAAAGTGGTCGGTCCATGCCCACTTCGATTGTTTTGGGGATAAAAACAGTTTATTTGCTACTATCAAGCTCATTTCCTTTTACTGAAACATCCCAATTTTTTTTCGTTAAATAAGGAATCGGATCATCCATTTACAAGAACTGCTATTCGAATTTTTTAAATTTATTCTACATTAATTAATGAGGTACTGGATTTGCAACTAAAAAGTTTATGAATCAGTAATTATTTTTTAAAAGTTCTCATTCATTAATTTAGTGAGTAGCCTATTCTTTCCTGTCTTAATTCATTGTAGCTGGGTCATCTTACCCAGTTCTTCCATATTTTTCCACAATAAGCCAACATCCAATACACGTATGCCCTTTGCGATTCTATTCATGTTCAAGCAAAACTTCTAGCAGCCCTCAGACACTGAAACCAACAAAAAACTTTCGTTTCACCATGTGCGGGATTATGGATCTGCATCACTACAGTCATATCATGTTACACGTGTAAATATACGGAAAGGAATTAATATGGCTGTCAAGTGTTTATGTTCATGAGATGTCAAGGGCAATGAGGGTGGGCGGGGTTCTGACATAGAAACTGAATGAGAGGCACGAGGAGAGAGAGAAAAAAATGGTGAAATGGTATAGGCCTAACGCCCCTATCAAAATTATTAGATTTTAATGTCCATCTCCGAAGTGACCGAGCCAAATAGGAAATTTATGCAAAGTATCTTTCCCAAGGATACAATGTTGGACCGAGCTGAGGCTCGAACCTCCGAACCTGTAATCTTATTATTACAGATCTGGTAGCCTAACCACTAGGCCTAGCCTAACGCCTTTAAAGAGAGCGTAAAAGCAAAACCAAATAATTGACGTTAAAGCTTAGATAGACAGATGGGATGTGTCTTCACGGGGAAATCAGCCTTCGTCAGAATAATGAAATCAAAGAAACCGACTTTTTTTCCAAGTTCTGAAAGTGTTGTTTTGGTGAACACATCCAAACGGAATTCTCGCCGATTGCTAAGGTTAGAATCTGGGGTTCCATTTCCACTACCGACTTCCCGAGAGACGGACGACTGTTGGACGGGCGGTTTCTGGTTTGGTGGACACGCAGGCTATTTCAGCGCAAACAAGAAACAGCAAAGAAAATGGATGTGGGATTTTAGACTAACACGACTCGCAAAACGACGATTGTGACAGTTTTAATTTCAAAATAATGAATATGTCTTTTAAAAATTAGTTTCCCTTAGTACAAGTGCAAGTATTCTGGGAACTAAGTATTATCTGGGTTATACAGGTATACTTGATCATATTAGGGTGCAAAGGCAGTTTCAAAAGAAGATACTTTGGCGCATGGTTGTTCAAGTTCCGAAACTGAAGTAAAAATGGCCATGTATGCAACGTTTTGAACAGGTAATAATATAAAGCAGAGAATAAAAACGAAAAATTGAACATATCTCGCTTTGTTGATTGCAGAATGACGACAAACAAAGGAAAATATGACACTCACTTCATAATGACACTCGCTTGTTCCTGAGTGTTGTGGCCTCTTTTATTGTCTGTGATCAGCTGATGATAGACAATCTGAAATCTTGAAAATGTAAAAAAAAAAGAAGAAAACAACTTATGAGTAAAAATGGGAGCAAATGGGAAATGAGATCCATAAACGCTCTATGAAAAGACAAAATGAATAAATAAATTAAAAATTGACCACTATAAATGAGGGTACAACGGATTTAAATCCGTAAATTATTCTTATAGTGAAAAATTATCCCCAAAAATACGGTTGAGGGAAAATGAAGGCACATAAGAAACAACTCCACAAACACAGAGTGAAATCCTTCCTCTTCCCCTTTCTAAAGAAAAGGAAAAAAAAAACACAAAACGATTTAGTTAGAACGATTGCCCAATGGTAAAAATAAAACTGTAAACACCTGGTAGAATTCCCTCGTTACATAAACGCGTAGGTCTCACCAAAAGCGCTTTATCGACATGTTAGTCATTTATTCCTGAAGTACATAAATGTACTTCGGTTGGCCTGGGGTCTACAAGTGCTTGCAGTATACAGCATATGAAGATACTTACCTGTCTGCACCATCTTTCTAACTGGTTAGGTGAAACAATCTACTCTATATACCCCCATGGCTTAACTTTGACTCTATATAAACACAAAAAGGTTGGTTTCGCTTTCACAAGATTGGTCCCGGATTTTAAAAAAACCGGCATCATAACTATGTTGAACCTGGTAATACCAAGGTTATCGTGAGGCACAGTTTAAAGAATACATGTTGGGAAAGGTCATTATATTTTTAGTATAAGCCCAATCAATTAGTTTCTCTCCCCTTTCCACGGTAATGTTGCATGTTAAAAAAACAACAACACATTAGTTTCCTTTTTGCGAACAATAACCAAAACGTGAAAAAACAAAAGAGCAAAGCCAACAGCAGTTGGTTGAGAACGTGACCAACACATAGACCTTCAGGGTTCGAACCCAACACAGGACTGTATTTTTGACGCCCTACCTGAAATGCTTTTTCTCTCAACACACTGGCCCAGCACAGAACGTGGTGTCGCGCAATGGAATGACTTCCCTACTGTGTCTCGTCGAGCGTGCAGCTTTACCTTTAAATGTTTAAGGCACTGACAGCCAAGCCTAAGCAGCGCTGACAAAACGTCTTGTTTTTTTCATTTTAGGAGCCATCGGTAGCCTGTTCCCTACTTGTGTGAAAAAGGAATCTAAGTGAAACTGTAAATAGTTTTTGAATAAAATGACACTAAAATTTCGGAAGAACGGCTTTTTTAAATGGTCACGTTGACAAAATGCATTTTTATATTGAAACTGTTGTGAATAACAAAATGGCGTTTAAAAGGACGTTTTGTTAGCGTGCTGCACAGCTCTAACGTCTATTAAAAGAACTTAGATGCGTCCTCTTTCTCAGCCTTTCTCTCTCCCTCTCGCTTCTTTTCTCTCTCTTCCTTTCTCTCTCTCTCTCTCTCTCTCTCTCTCTCTCTCTCTCTCTCTCTCTCTCTCTCTCTCTCTCTCTGCCATACTGTTCTCTCTCTTTCTCTCATCCTCTCTCTACCTCCCCCTCACCTCTCTTTCTCTCCCTCTCCATCCTTCCCCCGTTGCACATCTCGGTCTCAGCACATGCACCCAACAATAATATTTATACAGCCAAAGCCTAAACCAAACCAGCTCCCCACCGGAACCTCCCGAGCCCTCTCCCACCTTCGATTTGTTCTTTGTAATCACTTGTAGTGTCTTCACCTAGGCTGGCATTTGCCTTCCCGTAGCATTTGGGCATATTAAAGATTTCTACTGCTTGACCTTTCGAAAAATGGGAGGGGGAGGGAGTGGTTGGGGCATTTTAAAATTATAAAATCTATTTATTTATTTATTTATGTGTTTATTTATTTATTTATTTATTTATTTATTTATTTATTTATTTAT